GGAAATTGGAATACAACAAAAAAGAACGCATACAAGAATAGCGAGATTGGTAAACTGAAGAATTGTATTAAGTATGGTTGCCTGAGGTCTTGTTATGAACATGGTTGCCAGAGTTTGGCACATTCTAAAAATTTGGCGACTTCTACTAAGGTGGTTGCGTTAATACAAAAGTAGCAAGATTTCTTATTCTCGACAATTGAATACTTGGGTGATATTTTAAAGAAATATTTTTAATATTCTGAAGCACCTTTTATATGTTTGTAATCTAAAACATATCTGTCCCGATTCATATAAAAAACTGGAATATTTCGTTTATACAATATGCATAGCTTTAATTATCTTTTATTTTTTTCCCTCAGAATTATTCATCGACATTTCTTTTCCCAATTCAAACATTTTCCTCGAAAATTATCATTTCGTTTTCTCAGTAGCAAATGGAAATGTTACTCTATGATAAAGAGGAAAGAAAGGAAATTATGGGTTTTCTCAGAGTAGACGGAAGTCCAAATTCAGCTAATGGATGGAAAAGTGATTTATAAAATGAAACAGAACACACAATGAATTCTATTAACCAGATAAGTTTCCCGGTAAGTTCCCATGCCAGTGGTAAGGTAAACTGAATTGCTGTTTGCCAAGGACTCTATATCAAATGATGCTTGGTGGCAGTTTTCTTTGAGAAAAGTTAAACCACATTCATGCTAAAAATCTTCCTGTAAAATTTTATTACATTTGCAAGACGAGCAAGTAAAACAAATATGTGGTCATTCTTATTTTTATTAAAAATTATAAAGTTTGAATTCTTGTAATTTTAAAAGCAAAATTATTTCAATTGTTTTTTTTTTAAATACTAACAAACCCAAATGTAAGAATGATAAAACTAAATTTGTATAAATAAAAGTATAATACAGGAGTTCTCAATCATGGGGGATTAGGTATGATGGGGGGGGATGCAGTCAGCTTTTTTATTTACTTGTTAAGCATTTAGTTTTATTTTATGAATATAAAAAAACTACTTTAATTCAAGTGTTGGTATTTATCAATATGTTCTATACTTTTTCTTGTTTAATTTATAAAACATATTAAAAAAATCTAAATTTAAATAAATGTATATGCATTTTGTGAGATTTGGAATGGAGACGGATGGAATGATCGTTTAGCAATTGTGAAAGGGATATAGGAAGCAAAAAAGATTGAGAACACCTGATATTAATCGTACCATTGAACTTTTCAACTAAAACATGCTTGTCAAATTTTCAAACTGGAATCTCAGTTATACATCTTTTTATTTCCTTGTAGGAGGTACTTTAATCGCGAAAAATTTCGGGATCATATCTCAACAAAACTATTCGTTTTGACCGCTCTCAAATCCATTTAGACGATTTTTTGCTTGACATCTCTACGTATGGACAGAATAAAGAACTACTTTGTCCAAAAGGATTGTAAAATGGATTCAGAAGGGAATTTTCCATGGATATGTACCTGTGCATAATTGTATCTCCCATAACTTCAAAACGATTAGCCATAGAGTGTTAAAATATATGTATATATCCACCCTTTTACACAGTTTGGTGAGCTCTAATTTTTTATTCTTATATGCTGGTAAATTGTGCATTTTTGCTTTATAAACAATAGAATTATGTTGTTCTTATGTTCTGGTTAAGGATTTTATGCTTTTAGTTAATCTGCATTCAATAGTTGTAGAATTGTCAACAATTTAAACGTTTAAATGGGACTAGGCCTAACGAAGCTGCCCTTTGTTTATATTTGAAACTCTTAATAATGAATTCAGTTTGTGCACCATCTTATTTGCCCAATGGGACCCACAGTTAACTTTTCATTTTGTGCAGTCTTCTTGCCCACTGGCTGAATTGCTTGTTAAGTGATAAGTGTATAATACAAGTGATAATTTGTATAATACAATTTGTATAGTTATAATGTATAATTAAAATTACATACTATAATTTTAATTATAATGAAATTACATGCTGTAATTTTAATTATACAAATTTTTTAAACTGTTGAAAGTTTTTCTGTATTTTACAACTTTTAATGAAGATATTTTCAGTTTATAAGTGTTTTTGCCTTGCTGCAAATTGAGAACTGAATTTATTGAATGGCAAATATAGATCTAACGAAATTCGAGGAAATAAGTTTAGAAAGTGCATAAGTTTAGAAAGTGCAGCAGAAAATGAATATAATTTAATAGACCAGACAAGAATGTCGTGCCCTGTCCAAATCAGATGTTTTGAGTGATATTCTCAAAGACATATGAATAGTGCTCCACTGCATACTATAAAAATGCAATTTATTTACTTTCTTTGAAATTATGCCAATAAAATATTAAAGTGTTCTTTAAAATAAAATAAAATAAAAAGGGTAGCAGAGAAATTATTTCATTACAGATTTCTACAACATACCATTCTACTTTAGACCTTTATTTATTGAACTAACTAACTTAAAACACATATTCCTTATGTTCAGAAAAGTTACTCAATAGTGGAAAAAATTCCAAAATTTAATCTTGAATTCATAAAATGAACATTGCACCTTTCTAGAGATACTACAGTCATTTTCTTTAAAGGGTAATATAGTCTTCATTTGTAAAGAAAGGTTTTTATTTCTAACTAGTTTGTTTTTTTTCTCCTCACTATTTTCACCTTTCTTACTTTAGGATCATGCAAAACAAGCCAAATGAGAATTTAATAAATGGGCAAAGTCACATTGATTTCCTTGAGGGACAAAGTCTTCTATTTTTCACCAATTCTTTATCTTGAATAGCCCTACCAGTACCTGAGTGACCGAGACTTGGAATACTCAAAATTTACAAATGAATTGACTGCATGGTTTTTCCCCATGTGTAATATAAATACAAGTTTCAATCACAAAATCCTCCATGAAGAAAACACTTCTCTTAGGCAAATAGTCCAGTGGTTTTGCCGTTTCAAATAATCTAACCTAACTTCATCTCAGAGTATGAACATTTACTTCTTGTATTCAAGTCCTTCTGTGATACAGTGAGTTGATTAAAGACTTTATTTTCCTTTAAATTAAAGCGACAGCCAGATAATCTGAAATTTCCTCTGGTTTTCAAGTGGATTCCCCCCCCCCTCAACAGAAACATGCTATATTACTGAGAGAAGCAACTGCTTATAACTTTTAAATGAAGAAAAATTAAGTGCACGTTAATACATAACAATAATATCTATGATTTAATTCTCTGTCTTAAAAACCTTTTTCAGGTCAACTTTCTCCTTTACATTATTTTAGTACATTCATTGAAAATTCTTAGATTAATCTTGCGTGGCGTCCGATCCCTTCTTAGCCTATGGGCAGTCTTGCTGGGCTCTTGCCCAGATGCATAAAACTAATATATGCATCAATTGACTTGCCATTATTAAAAATATATTTCACATTTAAATTCAATTTATACAAGACTATTTTTTGCAATATGTCATCAAAAAATATGTTTAATATTATCGGGCATTTACATTTACATTTCTATGAGTGATTAGGCCCCAACACACTTTTTGCCCAGAAGCCCATATGGCTCTTAAGAAGGCACTGATGACATCCAGCAATAAACAAAAAAAAAAAAAAATTCTATTGATACACACTCTTAAAAACTAATTATCAGTAAATAAGAATCCAAGAAGATATTATTTAGATGAGGATTTTTATATTAACTGAATTTCACATTCATTCCCCTAAATATCAAGCTTTAAGATTACACTGTTTCGTTTTTACATTACATGTGAAACTATGGTTTTCATTTATTCCTTTTAGTAAACAAAACTGCATATTAGTCATTTTAAGCTAAAACTGTAACTAAATAATACCAAAATAAAATTTTGTAGAAATGTGAATGTCTGTATGCTTAATTCTATACAGATGTAAGTGTATATATGTGTGTGCATGCTTATATAATTTTGTTGCTTGATTTATTAAAAAAATGAGAGGCATGGATTCAGTAAAGATTATAAAGTGTTGATTCAAATTTTAAGTTTGATTAAAGTAATTGTCAAAGGTGATATGTTACCAAGAATCATTCCAAAGCTGGCTACAAGTTTATCAGCAGCAGAATTTAAGATAAAAGATTTGAAATTCCTGTTAGAAGTACCTATTACAAAAATTCTTGTAGGATTAAGTAGTATGTCCTTCTAAATTTAAGTAGTAGTCAGAAAGTAGTTAGGAAGCAAATTCTTCAACAAAAATCCTTGAGTAAAGTATACAGGTTCCACCAAATACAGGAGGAAGTTAAGGGTATGTCTGGATAACCATCACAGTCAAATCCTTGGTCAAGAGCTTGTTTAATCCATTATAATTGTCAATGTCTCTTTTTTGAAATGCATATTTATATGGCCTTAATTGTAAATAAGTTATTATTCTTTTACTCAGTGAACATTTATTTATTATGTATTCTACAATAATATAAAAACAGATACAAAGCGTTACAAATTTTGATGCTAGATATCTCCAATCTACTTCAGAGTAAACTCGGTGATTGCCTTCAGTATCAATCCGACAACAAAAAAAATCACAGCAAATTTAAAGAAAAGTCACATATAATTATTATTAAGCTTAAATTCATGCAGCATCCTTCAAAAGACTGTAGAACATTGGAATAGCCAATATTTTTCAAATGAACAATGTCTGAATTTATAGTGTTATATCAGTGTATATATATACTTTATAGTGTTAAATCAAATCAATTGAGAGTTTCCAATTATAAAATCCAAGCTGCTAACTTCTAATATGTAAGCAGAAATTATCTGAAGTGGACCACAGCTCTGAAAGTTTAGTGCTTATCCACATAATGAAGAGATTCTTGATTTTGCTCCCAAACTTAGCAAACTACACTGCTAAATTTGAAGGTATCAAAATTTTGGACTATTTACCTATTGAACTAATTTTGCCTAAGAAACTAATTATTAACTCCTTCCCTCTATTATCCAAGAATTTGAAATTGTCAAACTATATAGAATAATGAAATAATTAACAAAGGCAATTTTGTATCACTTTATTCATAGCACAGAAAAGAGGTAAATGCATTCATAAGATTCATAAAAATTACCCCATTCTTTACATAGCACAATATCTGTTAGTTTCATACAATCACAATTTTTTTTCTACTTCTCAGTTTCACGGATAATCATTTACTTAGCTTTGTTCATTATTTCAAAATTTGAAATAATAAAAATTTGTATATATAATGCAATGGCACATGATTGTGCTTCAGTATATGTCAATTTGTTTCTTTAATTAAAAACATTATTACACTTTCGATAAGCAAGACTAAAATACTTCTGATCACAAAAAATTATTTACATTAAGTGGAAAAAATGAGGCTATATTATTACTTAGCACAAATCAGACTTTACAATATTAAAAACTCGTACATTACACTAAAATAGCATTCTGTACATAAATCTTTTTAATTTAAAAATTTCTACTATTTCACAGTATGCAGAAAATTCTAAAATGGCTTTACATCAATAAAAAGTTCACATTAATCTCTGTCTACCGGTTTTAATACTGTTTTCAGAACCATTATCAATTATAAAAATATACACTTTTACATTGTTTATTATTTAAAACAGCAGTGAGACTGTACACACTTTCATATTCCATTAGAAGGCAAAATATACATTTTGTACAAAATTTCTAGTGTACTGCCATATGCTTTACTAATCAGAGAAATTTGCTGTTCATTACAGGTTTCACAAAATATAAGCAAAATGTTATGCAAATCATAAAAAATAACTTTTTTGCAAATTTTATAACCTGGAATAAATTATCAACATAAATGAAATGTTGATCATTGATACACCTTTTTTATGCATTTGGATCATTTTATAAAAGGCAATGATGATGGGATTGGATGCTCACTATTGAAGTATTACTTTCATGACAGTTTTAACAGAATTATTGGAAAGAAAACTAATACAATTTCAATTTTTCAGCAGAAATATACTAGCAATACGTTATCATTTGATAATTAAATTAAATACTAAATAATACATGTAATACTTTGGTAATTAAATTAAACAATAAAACTTTCTGAGTTTTCAGCATCCCCCCAATTCAGCAAATACATACCTATTACCAATCTTGGGTTTCTTTTTAACAAAACAATAAACTTTTATAGCATTAAAAAATTCTTTCACAATTTTCTATTTTGCCTTTGTGTGAACTGGCTAAATTTATTGTAATATATGAAGAATATAACTTATGTAAGCAGTATTACTAATATTCTTAAAACGAAAACAGCCGAAATTGAACCAGTGCTCAAACCCATGATTATAAATGCAAAAGATATCAGAAAATACATTTTAAAATTCCCAAAATATAAATTAATGCTACTGTAACATGAATTTAAATATAATTCTAGAATGCATGAATATAAGATTAAGGCTTTATACAGCAAAATACAAATAATTTCTAGACCATTGGTAAAACAAATAATTTCAGAAATTACATACATGCAAAATTATATAAAATACAATAAGCAATTACAGATTAGTAAAGTAAAGAAGGCATAAGTAAGTATATAAATACACAAAAACAAACACAATAAATAATCCACCATTAATGCATTTAGACAGCTATTTTGATAGAAACACAAATATATCTGAGAAACTGGCTTTATAAAAGCTTTCAAGTTTTCAAAATTTGGCATTCAAAAACATGAATTTTTCAAGCTCTCTTGGGAATAAAATCTCAGATAATATACCATTCCTACAAATAAAAAAGGGTTTTCATGTTTTAGTAAAGCATAGCTCTAATATCACAAATAATAAATCAGATCCTAAAGCTCTCAAATTTTCCATCGATATGCCGCAGTCTAAGATATACATCTGTACCTATACCCTGCATCGTTTCCAAAGTCAACGAACCGCCCAAGTACTCTGCATAAGCTCGAGAAGTTGGCAAACCAAAACCAAACCTAAGAAAAGGGGGGAAACAATTTTAAGCAAAATATATATATACAAACTGAATGCTGCAAAGTAAATGTTTAAGAAACTTTTTTTTCAGACAAATTTAGATAATTATTTTCTTAAGACGGACACTTCGAAAATCAGTATTGCTGGTCTACTTAACATTCTAACTCATTACAATTCTTACACAGCCTCTTCACAAACACCCATTTACCTGTCAATAAGTCTTCAAAGGCAAATGGGATATTAGTTCACTCCAATCCAATTATAATATTAATCACTCCAATTATAATATTATTCACTACTACAAAATACAGTTTAATAATAATATAAAAAAATTAATCTAGCTTATTACTCTGAAGCAAATGATAGAAATAAGTGTAGGAAATCTGCATTTAATAATTTTTCTAAAAGATACTTATGTATTAGTGCACCAATTTTAGTTGAAGTCACCAAATTTTCAGCATGTGCCCAACTCTGGCAAGTATGCACAAACGGTTCTTTAGTTTTCAACAAGTAACATCAGGATTTTCATTTGTGAAAACGGCAACACTGCTTCTTGCAATTCTGTTTCCAACAGATTTTATACACAAACTATGAAATATTTTTGTCTTAAACACAATTTTAAAAATATGCACTTGCGGAATCTGCCTGTGATGGAAGAAATTATAGAAATATATCTATAAATTATATAAATAATATTATATCTACCTTAGCAATTTTGTAAAATTGCTTAAGGAAACAGTTGCTTTAAAGCAGACCAAAAAGGGGGGAATCTTACAAGTAGGTTCATTGATTGTTCCCCTAAGATAAATAAATACCTAATTAAAACATAAAATATGTACGTTTTAATATGCATTGAAGCTAATAGCAAAATGATGATCCATGGTATGTAACATTTTGCAATTCATTATTTTTTTTCTTCTGTGAAAGGTCCCAAAACTGCATTAAATTTGTAGAAGATGATTACACTAATACATAAATAGCCAAAAATGTAGGCAGGTTTTTTTTAAAGAAATATTAAAGTTTCGTTCATCCTAAAAAAGGAACTCAAAACAGTACTTCATTCATAATAAATATTACTCCTTTACAATTTCAAAACTAAAAAAATGGAGCTTATAATTAAAAAGGCACTTATTTAATAAGTTATTTACTGTAACATAAAACCACAAAATGCAGCGACTTCTGAGTTATATAATTTACTTTTAAATGTACCTATACTTCTACAGAAAGGAGTAATAAAAAAAATTACACTTCTAAAGAAAAATGTGGAGAACACCTACTAACATCAGGAAAAGAGGGTTGATAAAATTACATCAGATAAAAATCTAGGTTAATATTTTTGAAATAAAACAATTCTCCATTCGCTTTTTTTAAGAGAGGCAATTTGTATTTATTGTGCATTATTAATATATGAAAATTTTATTATGAGACTTTTGATCTTTTGGGGGGGGGAGGACTTCCCTGACAGTTTGGTAAAAGTTCTGATTTTTTCAAGATTTTTTTTGTAAAAAAAGGAAGGAAAATAAACCTTTCGTTTAAAAAAACTAACAGACTTTCTTGGCCGTTTTTCATTTCCCTGACTTCCCATGCTTTTACAGAATTTTCTAGTTGTGTACGAACCCTGCAAAATGAAATAGGACTATCTGCTTACACAAAGTTGGAGGGATATCTTCACGGGAGTTTGCTAACTTCGGAAAAGCATTCAACAGCTAACTACCATAATATGGATGCCTTTATAGTGTGCTTCTAAAAAGCTTTTTCCAAACTAGATAACCTCACCTGTGAGTGAGTGATAAAGAATACTGAATGCTGGTAATTCGTCCTGAGTTTGAATCCAAGCAAGCGGGCTGGCTGTATGGTTGATTTTTGCTTCTGTGAAGTTTCCCCATGCATAATGTGAATGTCAACCAGTTTACCTTAAAAAGTCCTCCATGCAGAAAGCCCTTTTGTACCATATTCCAGTAACTATCTATCTTTTTCTATCTAATCTAAACAATAAGTGAAGCTGAAATTTCATGTCTACATGTCATCTAACTAGATTTCAATTCATTATCTAAAACCCAGATATTTCCAAAATCCAGAATCGCTGAAATCCTGACTATTCCAGATCTTGGACTTTAAACCCTAGTTAGAAGGTTAAAAATTGTAAAGTACATTTTCATTCCCTCCCCCTGCCATTTCATGTTTACAGGCACTATACTAGCTACACAGATGGAGCTGGATAACACATCCAGCAGTTCTATAACCCTTATAGACATTTTCATGAACTAATAAGATTAAATCACCATAAAAACAAAAACACATACATAAAATGTATGTTCACTAATCATAATTCTAATTCATATAAAGATCATATTTTTATTTACTCTACATGAACTATAATTTCTGAATTAAAAAATTAGTATTTGATTGAAATTCCTAAATTATTTATTTCTATTACTGTATTTCTCCAGAAAACAGTAACGAAAAATGTTTATTATTACATTAAATACTCGTTTTTAAAGCTATTTCATGTATGAAAGCATATTTCCACAGAGTTATATTGTTAAGTTAAATTAATCTATTATTGTTTAAATATAGTTCAAACAGGAAAGAAAATTACCCATGCATAGGCCCTGATGCAGGACCATCATTAGGTTCATTCATCATTTGTCCAAACAAACCACCATCTAAGCGTTGATCTGTGCTTGACCCAGCTGTAGTGAAATGATATTCCATTATGTGTGGCAGAAGTTGGTGAGGTATTCCACAACCTCTGTCTGAGATTCTGGGAGAGAAGGGACAGTACATAAGTGTAAAGACAATCAGAAATGATGCAGCTGCTGAATTACAAGCATAAATATTTTTAAATAAAACAAAAATTTCACTGTAAGCACATTTTGCATTTCACCTCCAATATTTTAAAAATCATTATAATGACAAACTAGAACAAACTAATACATTTCTGCTATATTACATATTAAAAGTGCATAGAATGCAGTCCATAGAAATTTTAAATTCCAATTGATTACCAAGTATTATACAGTATGAAGTTCAAAATCCATACATCCAACAGAAAAAGGGGGAAAGAATTTGATTCTGAAAGTAGCACCTTGCTCAAATGCATCATGCATGCATAGTAGATAATTTTTATCATATGTGAAAAACCTTGACTTTGAAATTCAGTTTGGCACTCAATATAACTCCTCTGCATTGAAGAAACATGATCATTAAATAAGTCAAATCTTCATGACCCATAAATCGTTGGCTCCATAGCAATCCTTTTGCTTAGCATACATTTCATTGAAGATGACTGCTGATCTTACATCTACTGAATGAAAAATGATTGCTAGGCTGGCATCAAGGATGCAAGTTATCCCAGATAACAACTTGGCAATCATTTCCTATTATTTTTTGCTTTTATCACTACGTGACTATCAACTCATGGCAGCTTGAATAAAGACTACAGTGATGTCCCAAACATTTTTTTAATATTAGAACTAAATATTAAATAGTACAGTTAAATTTTATGTTGACATTATGCTTGGCGACAATTATAGACACCAACCAACTGCACTGCTAAGCACCGACTGCAATTACAAGGAGAAATTTACCAAAACTTTCTTTCCATATGGAAAAGATAGATTTTTAAGATTATATTCATAGATGAAAAGATTACATTTAATGGTGCTTGAATTACGAATAACTGCTTTGTTATTCAAGCTTTAAGTATATGTATAATTTATTTATTCAGAACTCAAATAATTTTTAGCATAAGCAGGAAATAGATATATAATTATAATAATTAAACTAATACAATTCAAGCTTAAATTCCACAGCATACAATAGAAGCAAGACAAAATTTAGCAAAAAACAACATGTCTTTACTCACTAGCTAAGCATTACGCTATGCTAAAATGAGACACAACTCGAAATCTTAGTATGGTTTTACAGAAATTATTGCTACAAATAATGAAGAAAGTGACAAAGACTGCTGAGAAAGAAAAAAATTTTTTGATCGACAATTTAGTGAGAGTTCTCAACTTGACAATTACAGAATTTGAACAATGAAACTTTGTAAATGAACAAGAAATTATGTAAAGTAACTTGAACAACTTACATCAAAAGAAATGTTTAATAAAACAAATAAATAACTATTAAGCCTCATAATTTAACAGTTTCGGGGGGGGATGTGATCAGCCTTTTATTTGCCTGTTAAGTATTTTAGTTTAAGAATACACTTTTTTTTTTTTTAATTTTTACTCAAATTTTGGTATTTACCATTCTTTTTCCAAATTAATTTATGAAATGTATAAAAAATTATCAAAATTTATATATATGTATTTTAAATTTTTTTTTAAATAAGGAGACTGCTGATCTAGAAATGTTGAAAGGGGTGCATGGGGCAAAAAAGATTGAGAACCACCAATATGCAAGAAGTCCTTCATGTTCCACTGTAATGGTTTCCAGTGTGTTGTTATATAGATAAACTACTGAAGCCTTTTTTTATAAAGATTCTGTATAATAATACACACATTTTTATTCAAAGATAATAGTGCTTGTGAATAAAAAAATTATTTACAAAGAAAGTATAACAGAATCTACAACACTATAACACATTTAAAATACAATAGAATTTTTTTTTAATAATTTTAAACATTACTTTATTTCCATTTCATGTAGTAAAGTATTCTTAATATATTGCATTCTTTACTGAACAATAAAAAATAATCTAAAGTTATTTTCGCTACTTACCTGATAATAAAATCTACATCATTGTTTGCTATAGTTATTGTAACAGGTGGAAGACTGTCTTCAGATGCATCGAGATGACTTTCAACAGTAGCCCTAATTTTAAAATATTTCTAACTCTTTAATCAAACTTACTTCAATATACTGAAGTTCAAGAAATAAAGAAATGCACAAAAAATGATTTATTATATCAAGTCAAGTTAATCAGTATAAGCATAGACATATATATGCAATAAAAGAACCATTAAAAGCACTTTTTCTGACTGTATTCAAATGTTGCATTTATGGTTAATTAAGCTGTTACTTTTGAAAAAAAAACAAAGAGCTATATTTAAAAAAATATATAATAAATGGTTCAAAATGACATAAAATTTATGTAAATATTAGATTTGATTTTGATTGCGGAATAGCAATCTTTCTCTGATCTTTAAATTCAATTTAAATATGTTTTCATACAATAAAAGATTTTTTTTAATTCTTACTTTTTTATTGTCTGAATATTATTTTAATATATCTTAAACATTAAGTCTACCTCCTTCTCTGCCCTGTTTAATTTCTGCATTAACAGGGTGTTCTCTGCTCTGTTTAATTTCTATAACTGCTTTAGGTGCAGATAATTTCTCAAATTGACAAGAAGTTCAAAAAAGTTTTAGACTCAATTTTTATTTGACAAGATAATATTCCATCCAGTCTTTATAAGGTAGCTAGTGTTAAGCTTTTTTACTACAAAACATAGCCATGAAAAATTCATAAACTTAATGTACTTTTTGATTATTACATTCCCAGGAACCTGCAATTTTGTGAATTAGTAAAAAAAATTTGTTTGCCTATCTTTACAAATGGTAAGTACTGTTTTATTCATAAATAATAATAAGAAGAAGCATTTTATGAGAAATAAAATACTTCATGAAGGTGGAAAAAATCTATATAGCAATTATTTACATTAGTACAGGTGATGACCAGTCTACAACCGTTTTCTACAGTCAGAAAACTGGCAGTTTAGCATAAAGGATATAAAACAACATGTACTCAAAACATGTAGTACACACATGAATGAATTGACTCCTAATTGGGTGTATATTGGAAATTTTAGCGAAACATAGTAGCTCTACCTAATGTTGAAACTGGAGGTGCAGATAATTAGAAAGTACCAAATTATATTTCCATTCTATAAAAATTTAAACATACCAAAAAATATTAAACAATTTTTTACAATTTTCACAATTAGATCTTCACTATAATTATATGCTTTATTGCAGACGTATACGCACACATTTAAAAATGAATTCATTAAATACATTCATTAAATACATTATTATTCTCATTAAAAGGACCTGATATTTTATCTTTGTGTGTTATGCCCATAGTACACAGCTGACAAAAATGTTTAACTATAATAATGTTAATCATAATTTACTCACATCATTATGGTAGCCTATATATCACGACTGGTAAACTTTCACTAACGAATGTAGCAGAATGAAATTTCTTATTTGAATACTCGTAACAATTTTTGGAAGGAAAAAAAAAATTTCTTTGAGTTTTCTATTTGAAACATTATCTTTAAAAAATTTAATCTCATCCAATTCTCTTAAAATTGATGAAAACACTGATTTTGATTAAAAATTTAAATGCATGCCAACTCTCCAAGAATTTAAAAAAATCTCAAAGGCATTCTTTTTTTTTTTTTTTTTTTTTTTTACCTTCGTATTGGAGTTTTTCAAATGAAATTAACATTACAGCACAAAGTAACTATGTCATTCGCATTTAAGCATATGCTAATACTTATTAAACAAACAGTCTTATGAAAGATATAAACAGTTTTACATACGTATTTACTTATGCATACACAAGTACCTAAAAGAGAAATTACTTTTCTAACACACTGAAACAAATTTTTCTCTATTTGAAAAATGTTTAGAAAATATTTCTGTAACAGCTAAATATAATGAAGTCACTAGAATAATTTACATGGTTTACTTTTAGAAATAATACATTTAGCATAATGATGACAATAATAAGACTCAAACAGCATGATTTTCTTTATGATAAACTAACCAAAAGGCTCCAATTTAAGAGGAAAGAATTATTACTTACCGAACTGCATTTTTTAAAAGTTCTGGAATGATGTAATCTAAGGGTGCTTGGATGTATGGAAAAACAGCATTGATATGTCCATTCAACTTGACTGCTGGGCATTTGCCATACTTGTGCAAAGAAGTTTGACTATAAAATAATACAATAAGTTACTAATTCAGAAGTCAAACAACAAAAATCAGTGTTATATTTTCAAATTTTCACAGGACTAGTTTCGATGGTTTTACCGAACCACCATCCTCAGCTGCAAAAAGTGCAAATGAACGAGATAGGATATGGCTGAGCTTGCAGGGATCAAAGAATGTATTTTTAATTTGTATAGTCATTTTTAATCACTGTTACCCTCCGTCTGCTTTTAAGCTTCCAGTTTATTATTATTATTAATATTATTACAATGTACTTTAAAAATTGATTGAAAAATTTAAGCCCTGAAAAATAAAGGCATTGAAACTTCACAAATTATTATTTTAGATGTAAAAGTAATGAAGGTGTCCTATTGGATACAAATCACATCTACTTTGAGCTGCATGGGTTGGCTTTTTAAGCTCAGAGCTATTTAAAAACAAAATTTCCTCATGTAGATGAAATGCTGATAGACATGTCTGAAAATAAGATGTCTTCAGATATACCTCCTCAGTTAGATGGATCTTTTACTAAATGGTTTCACTGAATTTGTTGAATTGATTGCATTGAAAGCACACGAGAAATAACTGCTTGCAGAAAGATTGCCTCTCTAAAAGATCTTTTAAGAGAAACCAACATTACACATAGGAAAAACTATAAAAACGCCCATAGGATTTGAAGTCCCAGTATTCAGACTAATCCACTCAGTCACAGCTCGACCATTGGTTCATTAGGATAAAAAAAAACCATTGGTTCATTAGGATCACCCCCCAAAGGGGGGGGTTATTTAAATGAATTGGGGTAATAGAAAGTTACCCCTCTCATGTGAAAATGCAAATTTTTAATCACAAAACTCTATATTTTGTAAATTAATATATCTGTATTATTCCGTCAATCTTGAAATTGTTACAAAGCAGTGATTTAATGCCTATCATGGATAAGCATGAGGTCACAACACACTCACATCTGCATTTTGGTTTAATGCAACCTCCCTCCTCTATTGATTCCCAATAAGCCCCATTTTGCTTTTATGAACAATGATATAAATGAATTGCTATTGCTGTACTTATTTCATTTTTGGAAAAAAATTATTAAAATTTAAGACCTGTTTCCTACAAACAAACAGTAGATTATTTCCCTATAAACAAGTGGTAGATGCACGTTCCTACCATCAAAATGTGCTGTCGAGCTGTGACTGAGTGTATATTTAAGGGACACGATGTGATCAGCAGAATGGAGATGATGAAGCAGTAATAGACTGGAACAATTACCTGCACAAAGTTGATGTGCATAATAATGCACTAAACAGAGCTTCTGGTGGTCAGACAGCCTGTTTTATAAAGAGAACAAACAAAGCAGGTTGAAGATTGATTGTTTATTAAACAAAGAAGCAGCAGTTTCTTCAGAATTCCACAAGAATTACTGCAGCAAATGTGGCATGATCACAACCAACATTCATGGTTCAAATTTCACAGTCAATGGGAAATTTAAGCAAAACTATGACCCAGCATCCAGTCTACATATTAAAGGTAGCAGAACAAAGCAAAGTATTATTATATTATTTTAGTAAAAAAATTAATTTCATATCTAAATAGTATAATATTTTATTGGTGTATGTACTATCTGTAAGCAATCAATCTTATGAAACGAATTTTTTAAAATTTTCAGTTTAATAATTTATTCTAATGCTTGCATTTAATTTATTTTAATGTTTTAGTGCTTACACCCACATTACCTTTAAAGCTTTTAAATTTTACTGAAGTTCATTGTTTGTTACTTTTGAATTAATTATATGGATTTAAATTTCACATAAGTATAATGGGTTAAAATTCTGGACCAAAGCTTATCAGTAATTACTGACTATAAAAGCAGCAAATAATGAGGATTTACTACTATCAGCTATTTTATAATGATCATACAGAAGCCTACTAATCACCTTTTAAGGCAATAAACAGTGATTAACAAGCTGTAAGTTAGAATCATTTACAACAAAAGCACAACAGCTAAGTTGAAAATAAGTGAAAATGTTAAGGAAAAATTACCGATCATTTACTTGAATAATCAATTACACAACTGAAAAATATTCACCAGGAGTATAATTATATTTATGGGTCTTAATATCTAATTAAATCAATTAGCACATTAACCTTTTCACAATGTCAGTTGAACATTTGTTTGCAAAACTATTCCAAATTACAACTGTTGGAATACATGTAGTTAATGAGTACGAGTTAAATTTCAAATATTACAATACTTGCTAATTACAATATACAATACAATTCTAATAATCGGTGAATGTTTAATTTGCAAATTTCTGTAATCCACATGCATTTTTGGATGCAAACAAATTTCGATTCTGAAAAAATTCAACACGATGGCATATTTATCAGCAATCTTTGTTATGCATTTATATACAGATAAATGTTTTAACAAACTTGCACTATATTAATAATGAATTTCAGTTGGAAAAGCAAACTAGTTTTATTTATTAGGTTATTTTGCTTTGTCTGCATGTATGGTAGTTGTACATATTTCATGTACATATCCTTTAGAGATACTTTTGTAATCCAGCATGCAAATAAAGAGATTTAATAGCTCCTTAAGTATTTTAAGAATTTAAAAATTAAATACATTCTGAGACTTAATTATATATATATATGTTTATATTTGTAAACAGTAGCTTCACGAATCATGTCGTAACTTCAGACCTTCTAAGTAATGATATTTTTAAAACTACAACTTACCGAACAAAGTCAGCCCATTTTTCAATAAGATCCTTCAATTTCATAGAAACGTTAATTACCCCAACATAATTAGCCTGAAATGAACAAGGGGGGAAATCAATATATAAACGAAGAGCAAAATTACTATAAAAATACTTTCTTATGTACAAGACTGTTAGAAACAGAAGCTTGCACATAAAAAGAGGATAGCATGGCTGATTCTTTAAACAGGTTTTAATTACATGTGAATGAGAACATAAACACAGTCTAAAAGCATACTTTTATATTTAATGCTTATGGCAGTTACAATTACTGCTAACAATTTTTAATATGAGTTTATAACTCATTAGTTAACTAAAATAATTTGCTGTTCTGTATTTTGTTTATTATAACTCTGAAATAATTTGTTGTTCTGCATTTTGTTCATTACAGCCAAGTTTGCACTATTAATATTTTATATTTAAACAAGCAACTCAATAGTTAATTTTTAATTATTTAACCTGATTTTAAAAACAGGCTGATATTTACTTAAATCAGTTCTTCAGATATGTTATCCTCCTTACATAATATTATTTCACAGCAGAAGAAGCAGTGCTCAGAGTAGTAGGTTAAAGCTAAAAAATCAATCTTTAATCATTGGTAAATGCCCAATGCTATTATATCTTTCAATATAAACAGATACTTAAAAAAAGTAATTCTTTTTACTCTGAATGAACTGCATATTTGTTAATTACATCAAAATTAAGCTTCATTAATAATTAGACAATTAAAACTACATGGAAATAACTTCAATTCAAATGAATACACAAGAAAATGGTATTAAGTTAGGGAATAGATAAAATATTTTTTGGACAAATAATTTGTATTTAATGCAAACACAAAATTGAATCAATGAATTATTAAAAAGCTAAAATCAAACAAATTTTATACTTTAAATTAGTTGCTTGTTAAAGCTACACCTATTTAACTATAAATTATCACACTTGAAGTGTGCATATTACTTTCAACAAAGATTACAGAATAAAACTATAATTTATGACAGATGCCTGCTGGCATACTTCAATGAGCAAAATTCTTGCCTTCAAGACAAATATACAGTACTACTTTTATATGCGCTGGTTTTTAGCACAACTGCGTGTTTTGCAATGGTTTCGGGGGCGATGTTGGTTTCCATGGCAACCCTTTTTATATGGAAACTTGGATTTTACTGTAAGTGGTTTTAGTTAGTGGTTTAAGTTAAAGCTTGAAATGTAGACAATAAATTTAGGTAGTAATATGGCGGTGTGGAGTTTCTCGCCAGTGTGGAGTTTCTCGCCAAAAATGTTTGGCGAGAAATTTGTCACCAACCGAGGGCATATATGAGAGTAATTCCAAATATACATATGGTTTTGTAGAATTTTATTTTTTAATTATTTCTTAATTGAACATCATGGTATCTTTCTATTAAGGAGGGACCAATCGTCAGATGTGCAGCAAAAAGCCAAATATAAATACGGTAGCTTGTTTACACTGCTTCATGAAAATCTGTGCAATGTTAGATTTCATGCCAATGTTTGTGTTTGGTGCTAAGTGGTGCCCCGTTAATAGAGCACCAACAGTTGTTTCCAACAGAAAGTACTAACATATTTTTAAAATACAGAATATCTCTAGTTTGTTTTAATCTTATCTTTTCCATTCTTGTTAATCTTCTAGTTTTTTTGTTTTTTTTTTTAATCTTATTTTTACTTCAACCTATATTCTAATTCTTATTCCACAACATAATATATCTGCATCATCGTTACCAACATTAGATTTCAAGGAACTACTCTTATATGTGCCCTCAGGTCGCCAAATTTCTTCCCAAACATTTTTGGCAAGAAAATCCACACTGCCATACTACTATCTAAATTTTTTGTCTACATTTCGAGCTTTAAGCCTAAAATGTCTCCAAAAACGCACATGCAAAAAGCACGTTTGGAACACACAATTTAAACTAAAAATCCGAAACAAAAACAAAAAATCTAGATAGCAAAAACGTAAAGTTTCTAATAAAAAATATTTGACAAGAATCCATGTACACAGCGATATGTTTTAACTTGAAAAAACATCTACGAATTGCACAATCTAGGCAATGAATGAATCTACAAACTACGCACACCTCTCTTTAATAAATTAGCATAATAATAAATTCTGTTCAAAGCAATTGTTCAAAGCAAGTTGTTCAATTCTGTTCTGTTGTGTTAAATTCTGTTCAATTTCAAAGCATACCATGTACACAGCATCCTGTTTAAATGTAAAAAAAATCTACGAATTGCACAATCTAGGCATTGCGCACAAATCAACAAAATAATCTAAAACAACTAAAATTATAAACAATTCAAAAAACAGCAACAGAAATTCATAGCAAAAAAAACACAACATTCTACAAAATAAAAACAGTAAAATAAAATGCACTTACCATAATACATTCGTTAATAAAATTTTGCCAGTCACACAACGTCTGTGAACAAAAGTGCCACGATTTTGCTATATCACATATCTTTCTGCAATTCAAAATTTTGAAAGTAACGATTAAAACTTCCTCCCGTGAACAAAAGACTCATTTCGTGTAGTTAGTTAACTTACTACACAAAAACCACAATCCAAATCTTAAATTCAGCTGACAGCCACATACTATACCAGCAAGCATTTAACTACAAATCCAAACACGAACTATCATAAACGCCCTTCTTCGTCTGAGTTCTCATAGCAGCTCCGCATTTTGGACCCCGTTTTAAAAGTCCCACAGAAATTCCAAAAATACACTTCAATCCTCATAAACACACCCGTGAACAAAAGACTCATTAAAAACTCCAACATCATACCTTTTAATACTAAATTTACTTTCCACACAATCTAAAATACGCAACTGAAATCTTGCCACAACGTCTATCATTGCAACATAGGTCATTTCAAAACACGCATCGCACGAACCAAAAAGCAATTAAACCACTCCGGCAAGAGTTTTCAATGTCAAAAGAGTTGCCATACAATACGCAATCGCACCAAAAATAAACGCAGAACACATATTGCCACATTTGGTGATCTTAGGGTGCATATAAGAGTGGAGCCAATATCAAATTACTGCACTTTTTTAATGTCTCAAATTTAGGAGACCTTTTTTGGAGGGAAGAGAGTTATAAAAAATATCTCCTACTTCTGAACCAGAAAACACAGTTTGAAATCATAAAATGTTCAAGCTATAAGATGTTTGTCAAACTGGTTTGGTGATTCAGACTATATTTAGAGCCTTTTTTTTTTTTTTTTTTTAAAGCTAAAGGGATGCGTGAAATGAACATATTTTACACTTTTTTTTTTTTTTTTAAAAAAACTTCTTTTTATTCTCCTTGAGTTCTACAGACTGCCATAGGCCAGAGCTGCCTCTCCAAGTTTTCTTCATCTGACCCTATCTCACTCCACAGCTTTCCATCAGTTTATCCTTACCAGTTTCAAATTCTTTTCCATAAACGTTTTTTAACTCAAAGAGATTTTTAAAAAATTAAACTTACATTCCCACTTGCATTTTCATTATGAAGGCCCAAATGATGTTCTGCTAACATTCTCAGACCAAGCCGAGAAGTCAGTGTTCGATCTAAAAAGGTTCGTACCAGTTCTTCATTCTGTAAGAAAAAAATATTAAAAATAACATTTTATTTTATATATTGTATATATGCATTTTACAAGCAAAATACAATACAAAAACAGATATACTTTTATATGTTTACGGCATTCTCTAAATCCAGCAGCTAACTGAGTGACAACATCTTTATGATCATCCAAAAGGCCTTGGAGAAGCTCACAATACCCTTTTTCCAATTCAAAATCTGTAATCTGAAGAAGAAAATTTATGAAATTTATGATGCCATATTTACTTTCTTTCACATAACTATCACATTCTGGCATTTGACAATACATGGACAAAAATATTTCTGACTGTACCAACAAGCTTTTAGCAACCTTAGAAGTGGTTCCAGATTCTTCTAAAAAGATGTCTTCTTCCTCCCCCAATTAATGAGGAGAAGGAGTAAAATAGGTCGCGTTCCCCCCCCCAACATCAACTTCAGAATAAATACAAAAAGTGCATATCAGCATTGGATATTATTTTTGGCAATCTTTTATTCATGGCAAGTTCTTGTAAAAAAATTTTAAATTTTTTTTTTCTGCATTATTTACTCTATTTTGCACCACAAGTTAATAGGTTTGCCAAGAAATGAAACAAATGCAGTGCATTATTTCAAGGCATGTGGTGTTTTACACTAAAAAAAAAAAAAAAAAAAAAAAAAAGGAGACAATTTTTTTTCAATTTTAACTCTATGATAAAAGATGTACATCTTGCATAAAAAAAGGGGGCAGTTCTATATCTCCCGTTCTACTGAACCGTCGAAATTTAACTTGTGTTTTACATGTCTTGAAAGTTCAACTTCGGATATATACTAGATTTATATATAGCTTTATTCTAACATAGGTATTTTGACACAAGCTCTGACTTTTTCTGAAATAAGATACCAATTGATTTCCCTATTTCGATTCTGCGACTCCGATTATGCCTAGATATTAAATTTTGTTATTTTTGGTGAGAAATTTATGAAGAAATTTAATAATTTATCTTGCTGCAATTTTTTTTTTTTTTTTTTTTTTTTTTTTTTTTTTTTTTCAGTTTGTGCCAAGAATACTTGGTGAACTTTTTAATATATAACAACGTATTTTCCTTTCCTTTTTTCATTGAACATGAGCAGGGGGAAAGGTCATTGTTCATATTTTCAAATAATTTTAACAAAAAGCGAAACAACAAAAACTCTGAAAATGCTCACTCATGCATAATACAATCTGATACAAAAAACATTTGATATACAACAAAATTAATTTTATACATATTTTTAAAACAAAATATAATGCTTAATATAATATGGTCCTTTCAGATTAATCACACCCCAGTGAACTAAATGGTCACTTTGTGAACTGGTGAAAAATGTTTGTTTGGCTATTTTATGTGCTCACAGGTATATAAGAAGCATATTATAAGGAACAAGAAATTTTATACGGAAAAAATATCTTTATAGCTGATATTTGGATTTTAACAGATATTAATCTGTGAAATGACAAATATAAAGTGTGCAAATAAACATAACGCACCATGCACATGCATGCTCAAAATTATACCAAAAATATGGTAATTCTACCGAATGTTGAAATTCTGGGTGCAAATAATCAAAAACTACCGATAATATCATTACGATAATATATGCTATTAAAGAGAGTTTAATGTTCATTATAACAATTTAATAAAAAATAACAGAGTAACATATTAATACATTCCATGATGCTCAACACTTTCATTGCAAAAAATATAAACTACTTCCTGAGGGGAGGACAACTACTCTATACTATTATAATCTGTGTGCATCTGTCTTTCTGTTTGTGGCATCATTTCCTCCAGAACAGCAGGGAGTTGAGCTTCGAGAGGGGAACTCCCGGATTCCAAAAATTCGTCATTTCGACCGAGCTTAAATTAGCTGAAATATTAATTTAAAACTCTGAAAATGCTCATTTTCGCCTTCATTTTCCCAAGTGGCAACAGTCTCGCACACTGGAGATTAAAATCTCCTTTATTTCGAAAAGTGTTGCCACTGCTCACTTTCGAATCGTAGAGTTTCTTAATAAAATATTTGTAAGTTTTACAAAATATGAAATAAAAATAGCATTGCAAAACATTAAATATATTATTATTATTTAAGGTCATAGTCTGATGCTGAAGAAAGCACACGATTGTATGTGATGTCATTGTATGTCAAAAAAAATTTTAATATCAGCATTTTAAATAAATAGCTGCTGTTGGCAGCATTTTTGTTTCAGATTAGGATGTGATTTAATTCTTTTATTGATATTGAGAAAAAAATTCTTATATTACGTTAAATTTAAATCATGATGTCATACGCATTAACCTGAAGTGTCTAAAGTTTTCATTTCTTGGCTTGGCAGCAAAAAAATAGGTTGTTGCTTGGAAAGAATGAACTGTTGTTCACATTGAAATGTTTTTGCGCATTTTCTTTGCAGGTGTATATAGAACATGTAGATTTTGCTTTCGCCGCAGATAGCAATTTTGTGTACATTAAATCTGTACATTAACATTATTGCATTCAATAACAGTACATTAAATTGATACCGCAGTTAACAATATTGTGTACATTAAATCTGCACATTAGTATTATTGTGTTCATTAACAGTACATTAAATTAATAGTTATTTTTATTTTCAGTACATAGAACTTCTAAATATTGCTTTGAATGCAGCCCGCTAGTATCTATTAATTTATGTTTTAACAAGATCTACTTAACTTGAGTTTATACCTTATTTAATTAAAGTTACTTTCAATGTTAAACTTGGACACTATTATTTTATTCCTAATATATCTTCAATAAAATCCACAAAAAATAAAACTGTGATCCAATTACTTTTTCAAGCATAAATTATTTAATATGTACATGTGACATGTTTAATATGTACCTTTTAAAATCAATCATGTAAAATGAATTTCATGCAAAATATTATTTAAAAATTTCATTCACTTTTTGCATAAATGTCATATAGATTATTAATGCCAAATTTCAGATACAATCTTTATTTATATGATTTCATGCTAGACAGAATTTAATTTTTGTCATGTTGTAGTTCATTTTGTAAGAAAAAATTCCATTTAATGCATTATCCAAGTTAATTAAAGGTTACATAACTGGATTTGCACAAAAAGCATTTCTATAAATTGTAAAGAAGGAGTTTAAATATCTAAATTAATTTAACATAGTGCATAATTTTCCATTAACTACACATAATTAGCATCTATTTCAACTTTCTTCAGAGGCTGCATGCAAATTAGATGCATACATCTTATAGCTATAAAGATATGCTGCATTACTTGAAATTTGTTTTACTGAAGCAGTTTAACATCACACCAACTTAAAACCTCAGTTACAACCTAATGCTGCCTACTGTTTGATTTAACTTGCAAAAATAATATCTGCTAACAAACATTGCTGTTTCATAATTACATTTAAAACTATTTTAAATAATTATCAATGAAATAACTGGAAGTAGCTATGCAGTAAGAAAAATGCTACTAAACCAGTTCATAATGTCACAGAGAAAATTGTAAAATCACATTTCACACACTGCTTCAAACTCAGGATATAATTAGATGTGTATAATAAAAGACATTAACATTTCATTCTAGAATACCTGGCAATATCAAAAAAAAAAAAAAGATAAATATAATTTCTTTTTTAAAAATCCAGACAACTATGAAAAGTACAAAAAAAGGTATTTCCGTGCAAGCGAAATATGAAACTCACCTGAGGATATTCATTTAACATGTAAAATGCCCTAATGTATAGTTCATGCTGAAAGAGAAAATTAATACATAAATACATAAAAATGAATAGAATCAAACAAAAGATCAGAATATTTCCCTTTTTACATGCTACAAAATGATGCTTCTGTATTAAAAAAAAATAATGGAAAATTTTAAAATTAAATATAAATGGAATTGAATCTCTTATATTTTGAAGGACACAATCATTTAAAATATTCTCCAAGGAAAGATAAATAAATATAAAGATATTGCACATACTTGTTTTTCTGGGGGGGGGAGATATGAAAAACAAAGGATTTTTTGTGAATATAAAAAGAAAATTCTTTCTGTATTATAAAACATATTCTAAAAGGGCACAGGCAGTGCAGGATTTATATATAAGTTACACTAGCTATACATTAGGGCCCCCACCTTTTTGGTTTCTTTAACTCAAAAAAAAATTTAAATATAGCATAAGAAATGGTAAGAGTCTTTAATTTTTATGTTAAATTTTGTTATCTAAAAATGCTAACATTTATACTTAAAATAAATTGGCAAGTCTGCCAAAATATTGTAACCTATAATTAAATATTAACTACAAACTGGCAGATGGCAGTCATTAACGTTAATTTTCAAAATTTAATATAAATAGCAAAAAAAAAAATCCTTCCCGATCCGAAATAATTGAAGAATGATAAGAAAATCTTGCTACTATTTCAATAAAATCAAAATTACTAAAGCAATCAAATATTAAAATGTAGTTAAATCAATGTGCAAGAAATAAAACTTGGTGACTAATATAATGATTATTTTATTAATTTTTTATTATTATTTTTCTTGTAGTGTGTTTATACATGAATATGACTTTTTTTTTTTTTTTTTTTCCATGTATCTGTTTTATATCAATACCAATTTGTATTGCTGCTTCCAAAAGTTCGATGCAAATCTGCTTACATTTCGTTTCAGAAGTAAATGATTTTAGATTTATTATATTATGGGAAATCATATGAAGCCATCTACCTAAGGGGAGGGAAGTCTTCATGGAGGATATTCTCAAGAAAAACTGGCTTATATTTACTTTATATAAAAGAAAAACTTCAAGAACAGCGATACAGCTCACCTATTTGCTGAGATATTAATCTGAATTAAATAACCAGGGTTTATTGGTCTTGTTCTTAAATGTGAAATAAATGTTATTACTAATAAAAAAATATCAAGATCTCTTAAATAACTGTAAAATACTTACCACTAACAGGATAGTAGGATTACATCCCACAATAAAAGGAAGACTGCGAAAACCAGCTACTCTGTGTGCAATACGAACAGGCAATTCTTTGTGAAGATATTGTGCGCTCCTCTAAAAGGAAATAAATAATTCACAAATATAAATTTACAATACATCATGTACATATATAGTTCTACTTTTAAAACACTAAATTTGTGAAAAATAATAGTACTTCTTTGTTATAGCAGCCCCTGAGATTGAATCACCAACCAACCGAGATATCTCATCAAAATCTGCCTGCACAATCTTATACTTCGCCTCATGATCATATGTTAGTACCGGCTGCATGCTCTTATATCTCACCATGTAATCGTAAATTAGCACCATGCTGCATTTTTACTCTTGCCACGTTTTTACATTATTCATTTTTGATGAGCCTTCAAATTTGCATTATTTTGTGTGAATGTGACATTGGCAGTTTTTAATTTACCAAGTAATGAGGTGGATGCTAAAGCTGTAAATGAGATGGATGTTGATTTTAAAGAAAGAGGTCTTTATCTCACAAATCTTTTCAAAGAAAGAGGTCTTTTACCTGACAAATGATTATACGAAAATGGCGACAATATAAAACTTTAAATTAAAGACAAAACCATTTTGAGGTACAGCATTAACTAGATAAAGAAGGGCCTCCTTGTTAGAAACTGGTCAGTAGTTTCAGAATATTGTTCTTCACTAACTGTTCAGAATATTGTTTAATAGTTCTAATGATACAGAAAATAAATCCACCACCAAAGTTTTTATATGCCTATTGCCTTTATATTAGATTTACATATTCTTGGACAGAGGAGTTGACATCCATGAAATGGTGTAACAAACAGTTTAATATGTATGACAATGATGCACTGGACTGAAACAATTACATGTGATAAAATAATAATCATGAAAATAAAGAAAAGGATTCTTAAAAATATTCTTAGGAAACAACATGCGAGTATTATTATTGTTATTATTATATACTGCACTGTTTATTTTTACATTTGTATTTCACAAGTTTGGTGAAATTATAGCCGAGATCTTGGTAACAAACCTAAAATTGCTACATATGATTGGGGATTGCTATAACAAAGAAGTACCAAAATAATGTGGAATGACCTATTTGAACACAAAACAATCATAAATTTTAAATGAAACTTGTTAAATTTAAGATTAATGTTACCAGAAGTACCAAAATAATGTGGAATGACCTATTTGAATTCAAAACAATCATAAATTTTAAATGAAACTTGTTAAATTTAAGATTAATGTTAATAGAAGTCACATGCAAATAAAATAAAAATTTACTCTTTATTTTTTAAACAGTCAGTTCAGTCTAAATATTTATTTGCATTTTATGTTTTGTAATACTCAAAAGATCAGTTAAGACTAAAATATTTTCATTTTATATCTTACATAAAATTTTAAATAAAATGTTGACATTTTTTGTTTAATAGTTCTAATGATACAGAAAATAAATCAACCACCAAAGTTTTTATATGCCTATTGCCTTTATATTTTCAGAATTATTTATACACTGCATTAAGATAAAATCTCAAATGCAGATTAATTATATTTTAAGACTCGCCCCTCAATTTGCCTGACTATCAATTTTTGCCTTCTTTTCATTTACACATGTTATTTCATGACAGCACGGCTTGGAGACTGCCTTGGATAATCCATTCAAACAATGACCTCTTAATTAAGACACAATAACGCGCTGAACAAATACTAATTCAGAAGTCAAACAACAAAAATCAACGTTAAATTTTCAAAATTTCACAGACTAGTTTGATGGTTTTACCGAACCACCATCCTCAGCTGCAGAAACGAACGAGATAGGATATAATGATCAGATAACATAGGAAAGCCTAGACAGGAAATAAGCTGGTGGCGCCATCTGTTGGTAAAACCAGAACTAAAACATAATTTCTTTAAAGGCCGAAGGCAAAGATGGATTGGAATTAGGATTGGAATTACGATCTTTCTGTTCTAGTTAACAATCCTAATTCCAATCCATCTTTGCCTTTGGCCTTTAAAGAAATTATGTTTTAGTTCTGGTTTTACCAACAGATGGTGCCACCAGCTTATTTTCTGTCCAGGCTTTCCTATCTTATCTGATCATTATATCCTATCTCGCTCATTTGCGTTTCTGCAGCTGGATGGTGGTTTGGTAAACCCATCAAAACTAGGCCTGTGAAAATTTAAAAATACAACGCTGATTTTTGTTGTTTGACTTTGGAATTAGCAATGACATCTTCTTTCAAGAATATATATTTTAATATATTGCCAGATTTATGGATAAAGTTTGAAGATTAAATTCACTGCCTTCAGATTACATATCTGTAAGATTTTTCGGTTTCGAGGGCCGTAAAAAATCATCAAACTATTGTTGATGCCAGTGCTGCCAAAAGTACTTGCAGCAACCCTAACGTAAGAAAGAAAATATAATAGTAAATAACTATCTAAATATTGATGTTTTAATTTAGATGAAAGGTTAATTTCATATAATATTTCGCTATCGAGTTATTGTTAAAGCATAATGTCATCTTGTCGATTGTTCAAACATAATTTTCTATAATGAATGATGCCTCTTTGAAAACATTTTCGGTAAAGTGCAGAATCACCCACTTATTTCTTTGCCGCTTTTTACAAGGGTAAAACCAATTGGAATTTTGTTACTTTTCTTTTACTTTTTAAGTGACAATAGTTCGATGTGTACATAGATAATGTCAAGGGTGTGCGCAGTGCCATTTTTGTGCAATTCTGAGATTTTTTTTTAAGTGAAAATAAGTCGATGTGTACATGGATACTGAGTATGTGCAGTTCTTAAAAACACGTCAAACAATGGGTGATTCTGCACTTTACCCAAAATTCTACTGCAGACCTTTTTATCATAGGCAATTCCCAAATTGTTAAATCCATAGGATATCAAAAAAGGAATTAAAAATTAAACTAGTATTTCAATGGCGGCTTAAGAAATATAGAACTATATAAACTTATGCAATCTAAAACCAGCGCGTACGCGAGATTTGGCATGCTGTTAAATGGGCGTGTTTGCTAGATTTGGCGCTTTCGCGCATACATTTTCGCTGCAATTTTTTTACGGCCCTCAAAACCGAATAGTACCGATTTTTCACTTAAGATTAAATTTAATAAAAAATAGAATTTGTATGTTCTTAGCTTAGTTTCCCTGAACTTTTTACTTAGCTTTAATTACATTAAATTACAGCTCTTGAACAAAAACATCAAAAATACTAATTTCACATATATTAATGACACAATAAAAACTTCAGTTTTAAAGTAATACACATAAAGTCTGAAGCAGTTCATACAATGTGGAAAACTTAAAATACAAATCAAAAGTTCACAATAAAAGTAATGATATAAAAAAAAATCTGATATTACATAAAGTATGGCTAAAAAGAACAAGATTTTAATATATTTTACCTTAGGCATTTATTCTGTATAAAGATTCCATTTTATACAAAATTTCAGGTACTTAAGTTTTATCTCATTGACTGTTAGCAGAAATTTCTGCAGCAGTCACCAGTTGTTACTAAGGAATTCTAAAGGACACAGTCATACTTAACTGGCACTAAATTATGATACTTTACTGGTTGACAGATAAGTACCAAATTTTATAAGGAGAATTAAAAACATTAATATAATGTATAATATGTATAATGTATGATATAATGTATTCTTACCAATATATGACTGCCATCTGGACTTTTACCAGAATATAATATTGTAGCAGGTGTTAAACGGACAGAAGGCTAAAAAACAAAACAAAAAAAAACAAAAAATTAATATTAACATATTAAAAAATATTCAGCAAATGATTTTTTTCCAGCTCAATGACAAAAAAATTCTAAAATTCTAAAATTTTGATGCACTGCATTAAATTTTAATATCTCTTTTAAAATGCAAAAAATTTCACACTTCTTGTTTACTTTCTAAAATACTTTTAGTATAAAACTAAAGAAAATAAATCACAATTTAAGTTTTTTTATACATTTTACTGCTATAATTGCACATATTCATGAAAAATATATCAAAATTATTACACAAACAAATTTAATATCTGACTAATTGTCTTCATCTAATAAAATCAGTGGTGAAATTCAGCTATTAACAACACCGTAAATTCTCTAAATTAAAATATATATTAATTTTGTAACTAGTTCTTGAAATCAAACTAATATTTTTATAGGCAATTTATTACTACTCAGTAGTGAGTTTCAACACATTATGGCTACGAATGTTTTCACAAAAATGTCCTATCAAATTCTATTACAAAAAATTAAGTTCTTTAAAATCTTTCAAAATTACAGCCCAATTTTATATTAACTAGATCACAGATCTTCTACAGAAGTCAATGGAAAGTCATGATTTTAGAGAGATATGGGCAGATATTCTATTGACATTGCACACATTCTATAACAATTTGTACAGTTTCTTGCAAGCATAAAATTTTATATGACATGTATAAAATTGACTAATAGAATTCTACTGATAATAAGTTTCCTTTTACAGAAAACTGTACCTAATTCTGAACAATTCTAAACAAACCTAATTAATTAATTTTCTATTAAAAAAAGTCCAGAAACCTTTGAATATTTAAAAGCATTATAAAATTAACAAAATTCTCTATTGGGATTGAAAAGACTGAATTAAATTTTATGTTTTGAATAGAATTTCTTAATCTAAATTTTGAAATGATCTATTACATGGGCATGGTTGAATAAAAACTTTTAGAAGTGATGTTTTTTCTTAATAAAATATTTTAATATGGATGTATTATTACATATATATATATTAATATTTTAATATGGATTTAATTTTTTAAAATATTTTAATGAAACTAAAAACACTTTTAAGAATAGTCAAAAGCATTCATTTCAGGAAATACAATTTTATAAAAAAATTTGAAGAAAATTGCTTAATGATTGCAACTAAATGATGTTCAGTTTTTAAATAGCAAAAAATTTCATGAATACTTGCATCGAAAAGCCTTGCTTACAAGTAAAAATTTATAAATTCTTGCACATAATATACATTTGAGGAATTTGATATATTGAAAGTGTATTGAAAAACCTAGCATGACTGGATATGTAAATATGTTTATTTTCAATGCAAAAGTTAAGAACTATATTATCTTCACATATTTTTTAATGTTTCAAAATTATCAAGCAAACATACATGATTATCACAGATTAGTTATCTTTGTCAAATCATAAAATCAGTGGTAAAATTCAGTCAGTTCTACAGAACCGGTTCTATAAATTTTTAATTAGGTAAACAGGTTGTTCACACAGAATCGTAACATTTTTTACGCAACTTATCGCTTTATTATAATCGGTATACATTTTCAGAAGGTCATTTTAAATGGCAGAAAAAGCCGTTCATTATATTCGCGTCAATACGGTACATAATAGTTTAAGGGAAAAAAAAAGTATGTGAATTACTCAACATATATTTCAATGACAACTAAACATAAATAATAAATATTATAAATTATAAATATTATAGATGTATGACACATCTCAATTTAGTTTTTGTTCAAAAGAATAATTGCTAATAACTACATAATTAAAAAATTTTCTTACTTTAGCAGCAGCAATGTCAATTGCCGATTGGTTGTAGAAGGATTGTACTGTTCTTGTTCTGACTCTGGGAGCAGCATTAAATTCCGGTCCTTGATGTAAGAGAGCTCGATCAAAACGTAAAACCCATTTTCCGATTTCAAGTAAATATTGGGAATTTGGGGTCACGTTTGTACAAACCGAACCACGGCTGCACACTCGAAGTCCAAAACTACCAATTATTTTACTTTTCTCAAACAAAGATGAAGCCATGTCGTGAAATAATTCAAATATTAACAATTAAGGATGTACCACTAACTGAAGGAATATGAAGCAAAATGTAAAAAAAGTTGTTAACACAAAAATGAGATTCACAAAATGTAAGTCAAAGATATCACAGAATTACAACTTCGTTGCAAACATAAAAGTAAGAAAGGTCAGCATATTTCCAAAGAATATTAACCTCAGATTACTTCTAAAAAACATTCAAACAAGTGAAATTTTATGCCTAGAACTGAAATCCAACAATTGCAGTGTGTTCCGCTCAGACTTCCATTCCATGGGAAGCCAAAAATTTACTCTAGTTACATGGACAGGAAGGGTAAACCCCATCACACGCAAACGTGCTGTTATCCAAATCGTTGCTGTGAGAAGACACTTAAATAATTCAAATATTTATCAACTTTTTGAACGCTCTGCTTTTCCTTCAACGCTACGAAAAAGAATTCTTGATTTCCAAACGCTGGCAAAATAAAGCACATTCGCGGCGGTCTCTTCGGGTTGCCTTAATATCAAACACAGAATCTCGCCAAGAATCATTCTCAGTTTTGAAATGCTAATTTTAAAATGTTAAAATTTCGGTAAATGTTTATAAAATTAAAGTTGAATCATACATAATGTATACGAAAATTAAACTCTCAGAAAGCTTTCAATTTGAAATATTCAGTCAGAACTTAATACTGCATTTTAATCACTATTACTACTGTCAGTTTAACAATGGAATTGATCGTCGCCAAATCGGAGCAATCTTCGCCAATGGTAGTCAAATTCTGTAAATAGTGGTGTGCACGTGATTGTCAGCTGTACTAGCTGAAGATCAGAACTTCAGAGCAAAGGTAAAAGTAGTAAAATCGTGATTTAAAGGCAGGCCTGCATGGAGGGCTCTAGTAGCTCTAATCGTGATATATTCGTCCAAAGCTCCTTTATTAGAGTATTTTCTACGCGTACATTCATAGGTTGATGATATTTAAAGATGAAGTTCATTTTTTTTAATACTAGATTCCAAATTTTCCTTTGATTAAAAACTTTTAATAATCAATTTATTATTATTATTATTATTATTATTAAAGATTGGAAAGATCTGAAAATAAATACTTTTAGATTCCGATTCGGGAAAATTTGCAATTAAAGTGATGCAATAGGCTTGGATTTAAATGGTGTATGAAAGATGGATTGTACTATACGAGTGAATAAATTGAGATATTTTGACACTTATATATTTTCCAGATGATGATTTAGACTAGCATTTCAAAGTATCTACTGAACTGATGATTTCTATATTTGGAAAGATTTATCACTGCATTTTCAGTGGCAATTTACTACTGTTTTATTATTAGGACTGTTAGTAGTATTAAATTGTTTTATTAGTATTAGTTAGTAATATTAAACTGTTTTATTAGTACCGTTATTAGTATAAAACTGTTATTATTAGGAAAAGTTATGTCTGTGGCATTGTTCCTAATGCCGGATATTTGATTCAAAACAAAATTTATCTTTTTCTCAAAGAACAATTTCTACACTAAATACCGATGGGAATTAAAGGTTTTTTTATTAAAATTAGAATAAAATGAAGACTGATTTTTTTCAATTGTTATGGTTTAAATTACGTGCCTCTCTTAGAAAATATAGAATAAATGTTTTGGTATTATAATACTCATTATAACTTGAATTTTTTTTAGCAATTCATTGTAAACTATATGTTTCATTTCTTCAACATATTTCTTTTAAGACTGAAATTATCTGTAAAAGTATTTACATATAGCAGGTTAGCTCTATAGCAGGTTTTATTGCTATAACACTTTTTTTCCCCGCTTTTCTTTGAAAGCACTTTAGTAATTGCTTGTTCGTTAATTTTTTTAATTTATTATTTTTATTTTAACTCCTTATTAACATTAAAAATATTATTGTTTTCGTGGAATAATTCGAAATTTTATGCATATTTTATTAACATTATATTATAAATTTTATGCTTATACCGATTTTCTAAAGCGAAACACTAGTAAATTAGAAACACTCTGTGGCCCCACCAGTGTCCGAATGATTAAAACCGTTGAATATTGGTCATTGGATCCGGGTTCGAACCCGATGAACAGACTGGTTGCATGACTGGTTTTCGAGTTTTTTCCATATCTACCGTGAATACGAAGCTGTTGCCTTAGAAAGGTCCTCCAAGGAGGCATCCCCGTAGGTAGATAGCCCTCATGTACTTTGCCGTAATCGAATACCCTCGTAATCTTTCTCAGTTTTGGTTTTATAGGTGCCTCCATCTCCGTGCATAACGTAATATACTAATTTCCTCTGAGAGTCCTCTACGAATGCATCCCTTCTTTTAGAAAAATGCCCTTATGTGCCTTACTGTAATTCACAAATTCAGTACTATTCCAAATAATTTAAGATTTGAGCATTAAGTTTCTTCAAGTAAGAGAAATTTTCTTCTACTGTTAACTTTTAAATTTATATTGTATTAAAAAATTCAAAAATGAATGGTACTGTTAACATAAGATAAATCTGAATTATTTCATTACACCTAAATTTAAGAAAAATCATAATTCGTGTGTCTATTAAAATAAATGTAATTTAATACTCTAAAGAAGTCAAATTTAAAATCAATAGCATTACAACTAAACGAAATTGCGAAGAAATTGAAGAATGCATAAAATTTCTCAGAAAACAAGAACTGACACTTGTAGCTATAGAACTAATAGGAAAACTGGATCTACATCTAGAAGTGTAGTAGTAGTATTTCCCAAAAATGTTTTGTTCCTAAAGATTAGAGGGCTGAATCTAAACCTGAGGAATGAAATCGATAGAGTTTTATTGAAAATTTATTGCAAAAAGGTTGCTCTTTCTGCTTCGTTTTTCTAATCACGGTTATGTGAGAGGCTTTAGACGCTTAAACATTTAAAGCAATAAACACCAACTCTAACTTTCACTTGTCTCCGACATTAGGGAATCAGAAGCTACGCTCTAATAGTTACGAAATTCAATCTCTAACCCACGGGTAAGGCTAGACGGACGGCTCTTTGTGTTAGATTTGATAGTTATACTAACCACAGCATTTTCCATAAACGTCAGTTTCGCTTTCTATAAAACTTCCCGTCTGGTAAAGGTCAATGGAAGGAAGTGAAAGGGTATGAAAAAATTAACTGAAATATAATTATTAGCAAAAATGAACCTTACAGTCACAGTCAACTTCAAATACAAACGAATTACGCAAGCCGCTTAGGGCGCCTATTTTCGAAGGGGGCCAGGGTTTGTTATGTTAATATACTTAATTTACACGGGAGCAAATGTATCGTCGTCTAAGCCGACGAAAATCCTGGAGGCGGAAGTTGTGTATTTTGTGTATACTTGTAACATAATTATTTTTTAATAAGACATATTATAATGGCTATAAATTTAAATTTTTAATTCATGATTAGTGAAAAAAATATTTGCTTGGTGTGTACAGAAGCATACATGCTTACAAAATACTAAAAAAAAAAAAAAAAAATATATATATATATATATATATATATTTGTTGTAGACACCATATGACTTTCTTGTACGCTTATTAAATTGTACACAATTTTGATTGCATTTCATTATTTCATTTAATTTCACACATTCACTTTATTTGAAAATAAGATAGGATCTTTCAATTCAAAATACACTTTTGGCACTGGCGATTGCGATACAAAATAATGGTGCACAAATATAGCAGTCCCATACACGGAATTTTAATTATTTTTGAGAGATCCACACGTATACTGCGAAAAAAAAAAAGGGGGCGGGGCAGTTCTATACCTCCCGTTCCACTGGGCCGACTGGCGAAATTAGGTCTCAAAGTTTTAGCTCGTCAATGTTAATTGACTTTGATATATATTTATTAATCTCTGTTTTTTTTATTAAACTTACTTGATATCTTCAACTTTCGCTTTTCATGTCTCGTAAGTGCGACTTAGGATAGATATTAGATTTGCATCATACTAATATAGGTATTTTGACACAAAATCGGACTTTTTCTGAAATGGCATGCCACTTCTTTTTTTCCCTTATTTCGATTCGACGGCTCAAATTATGACAAACTGCCAAGTTTTTATAAAAATCGCACGAGTAGTTTTTAAAAAATTAGGTCTCAAAGTTTTAGCTCGTCATTGTTAATTGACTTTGATATATATTTATTAATCTCTGTTTTTTTTATTAAACTTACTTGATATCTTCTTCCAGAGTTCGAAATTTAGACTTAAGCCGAATATAATTCCTACAATTTTTACGATTTACTTGTATTTTTAAATATTTTTTATAAATTTTTCGAAAACATTTTTGTAATATAACCTATAAAATTTTTAACATCGTCTTAAAGTAGATGTATTTTCTGAATTTATATATTGGAGCGTTTTGAAATTTGGCATCTTGTTTTTGAGGGATAACGCCAAATGTAATTTACGGACTTTGTTAAAATCATTTGAAAGTATGAAAGATGACTTTTTTTTCCGCTCGTCTTTGCAGTGATAAAAAGAAAAAGGAAAATAGGTTGCTATAAATTAAGAAGTTCGCCAAGTAAATTATTCTTGGCGCAAACGGAAAAAAATACGCCAAGATAAATTTTTGAATTTCTCCGTAAATTTTGCACCTACAAAATTTAATGATTAGGCATAATTTAAGTCGTAGAATTGAAATATGAAAAAACAATGGCATGTCATTTCAGAAAAAGGTCCGCATTTTGTGTCAAAATACCTATGTTAGAATAGTGCTATATGTAAATCTAATATATATCCTAAGTCGCACTTTCGAGAATGGATTCGGGCACGACCAAAATGGACATTTTCGCTGAAATCTGAAAACCGAAATTTTTCGCGATTACAATACTGCCTTTACTTCGAACAAGGAAGTAACAATTAGAAATTAGTGAACTAATTTGCACAAAGAAAAACCCAGTGGTTTGTTCATTACTTGTACCATTCTTTAACTGGAATTTATTAAAAAATACTATATAGATAACATAGAAAAGCAAAGTTGTCAAAGAAGTCTTTTTTTTTTTTTTTTTTTTTTTTTTTTTTTTAGAAGAAGAGGAATTACGAAAAAGAAACTTTCGACCTCCTAGCTAAAAATAGCTGAAAACACTCATAATGTGATCCAATCAGGGCTTAATTTCTAAAATTAGAAGTACCGGAGCTGTGTGGAAGGCCGCTAGAGAAGAAGAATAGAAATAAGTAAGAGATAATTAATAAATAAAAGCGAATAAAATGTAGAGAGATAAATAAAAATAAAGTGAAATTAATGAAAAATTGTTAAATAATATAAAAAAATACCGAAACCCGTCTTATTAGCCCCAACAGGAATTACAATTTCATTCAAAAATTAAGAAACATCGTAGCCGGGCTTTTATTGAACTTAAGCCCTGAATTTAGTAATTCATCCTTGCAACTTAAGATTCTGATTGCAAATACAGTACAACCCTAATTATCCGAACTTCGACTATCTGAATCGTTTTCAGAATTTCACAATTTTTCCGAATC